GCTGTAAAAGACTTCAAGCCTGGTCTATCTGTTATCAGCCTCACTAATTGACAGACTTTTGTACTGATTGTAATTGACTATGTAGAGACCAGTTTATAAGCATGTGCTTGTTACAGAGTGAAGAACAGGTGTTAGAAAAAATAAAATTCCTGTAAATCTACCCAAGTGTGTTATGGTTAGGCGTCGTTAACTGTTGAAAGTTAACTCCATTCATCTTATATCATGCATAGATGTATAATCTGCAGGGTGGTTGGAGATAATCGACATGAAACACTCCCTTACTTCCATTTAGAGCTTATCAATAGGGCTTAAGAGCAAACCTGAAATAGCTGATGCCACCCCAGCAGTCACAACACGCCTCACTCGTAGCTGCAATCAGAAGCCTTACTAGTGAGCTGTCCCAGTTGTCCTTCAATATTGGACTTAAAAATTCGTTAACTACATTCCTTTTTGATGATTCAGTGATGGATACAAAGTGGTACACAGATCACTGCTGCTTACTGTGTGTCAAATGTACAATGTTAACAGCTGTGTGTAACGAAACACTGAAGTTAAAATGAATGCTTTTCAACACTTCTTGAGAAACAAAACAGTAAAGAACAACCATAGTTTGACTTCATAGTTATTTGGATGTTGACTGAGTAACTGGACTCGGTAGTTTGATACATACAGTAAAAGGATTTACACAGATAAGGGGCATATCGCTCATATTTGTTTGCTTGGGGATGAAGAAAATCGAATTAGAGTGCTTAGGCTGAAAAACGTATTCTACGTATATGCAGTTTGTTGATGCTCACATGTTGAAGGTAGAAGCTGACTTACATTGCAGAGCACATAATTTTTCACTTCCCTTCTTATGTATATTAACTGAATAACGATCTGTATACAGAACTGTAAGTCTACTCTATGAATGAAGCGTAACTACACTCACTTCTCTTCTACCAACCAAAGGACAAAATACTTAAATCACTGATCACCGAATTATTTATTTCCAGCCATAAATGAGTAATAAATATTCAACTCCCAAAGTATAATTGTGAAAACGTAATGTTAATTATGATGACCAACATTTCTTGGAAAAAGCTATGACTACAGAACATTTCTTTTAGTGTTAGATATGATGCAGGCATTTGACTAATTTCTCACTACAACTTTGGTCTTAAGCACCAATCACTGGTAAATAAGATGGCCAGCCTTCAGTAAACATTCTTTAGCAGTTAATAAGCTTATCGAAAACTTAAATATATTCGTAACAGCGGCTATTTAGTTATGTTCTGAATCGTATATCTGTTTTAGAATATGAATATAATAAACTTCAACGAGATATTCCTGTCTTTTATTGACACATTGACTCACAACCATAATTATTTGGGACTCATTGACTTGATCAGTTTACGTCGTTTGTCCAGACTAGGCTTTATATTATAAAACTCTTGGAAAACATGTTAGATATCATAAAAACTATCATTTTGACTTCTACGAGAAGAAAATGCAGCCAAATATGTTTCAAAAATAACTCAGTCTACCCACTGCAATATATGTCTACATACATGCAGTGCAAATAATCACTATGCTTCTGGAGTGATAGCGATGTCATGAGCTGTTGTGATGTTAATTTTGCTGAGCATTTACCAGCTGACTGCATCGTTTTCTTTACAGCATCACAACACTTAATAATCTGACTTGCAGCTTTTCAGCGTTCAGCGTGAAAGTAAACACCTAGAGTGGACGAAACTTATCTAATTCAATTTAGTACTCTGATGAATCAGAGCAGAAAACGTTTTTTGCTGGAGTAAATTATTTGGTTAATAATAAATATTCTTATGACTATGGGCACAGCAGCAAACTTTTCTTGGCAGTTTCGCAGATATAATATTCCATTAATTAAATAATGGTCAATTTTCTTCCCACTCTCTTCTGTACCCCCCCATCGCCGAGTCAACTTCCCTTCACTTTTTGAGACATCTTGACTGAGGAAAATGCTATAATGTTTGTTTACTCATTTGTCCTGGGAATTTGTTGATAAGAGGAAAGGGATAATATGTATTCAAAGCGATTCACATCTACGCTTCATATAATTTGTCTCGATAAAAGCCGTCAGCTTATTGTTTCTGAAGTGAGAGGAATTCAAGTTGGCTTGCAAGTGAGTTGTAAGGAGATCGACTGAGTTTGATTATCTGATAAAAAGTTAAGAGGTAATATCCGTGTGATTTATGTCTTCCGATGGCACTTACTCGAAATTAACTTTCCGTTTCTAAATATATCCTATCTTAATGCTGCTTGGAAATGCTTCAATTAGGAAATACATATTTACCATAAACTCAATTGGACAGCCTTGATTTTATGCTCAGATCAAGTCAAGAGTAAGAATGGATGTCTGTCTTTCTACCAAGATTTACTCCTTCTACTTAATTCAATTTTCGGGTTATTATTCAAAGTTGTTTCTTCACAAAACTCTACGGCATTTCTTTCGGTTTTGATTTAAACTTGATTACACTTAAGACATTTTAAGGGTGTAAATGCACTGAAGTGTTTGCCGTTTTTCTTTTTATAAAAAATGAAGGCAAAGCAGTGCCAATATTAGTCTCATGTCACTGTACTAAATACAAATAACATTTATTCTGTTTAAATACCTATATACGTGCATTGTTCAGTGTGGAAAAATGATGTCTCTATCTTCTATGGACTCATTTTTTTTATGTGTGCTCATATACATACCAAGGCAAACTCAGTCATCAAGCTGGTATCCTTCACGAACTGATGTCAGTTGAGGAACTGTTGGAAACCTGGGAGAAGCACTAGACAACTGTTTCATCCTAGTACGCAACTTCTCAGCAGTGTGAACCCATTACTGCCATCAGGAGGAGAACCCATAATCGTCAGCTACTTCTGCTAACAGGTTCCCTTTGGACTACTAGGTCGAAATCCAATGGTTCATATTTTTCTACTTCTGTCACTCCGTGATACAGCACAACCTTCATAAAATGCCATTACTGACTACCTGACCTTATTTCTGACTTGCCATTTGCCTTTTATGGTCACAAATTTTCCCTAGAAGTTTAGGAAATCTCATTTGCAAGCCAGTCGCTAATAACCGCTGGAGGTTCTCATAGTTATCATGTTGTATAGAGTAACTGGTAAAATTCATTTAGTACTAAAAGCGATTTAATAGCATTATACTAGAGTTAACTGACTCATCTTTCAAGAATTTGATCCAATTATTGTGTATCTCACTTTAGGGCTGTATGTGTTCGGACGATAAAAAGCTAGATGTGTATACCATATACTTAACATATTTTTACAATATTTTCTTCTACAACATAAGAATAAGCAAGATGAATTTTAAAGTCTACAGAGGTAGATACAAGAATAAGTTGTTTTCGCAATGCCTTTCCTTTAAGTGAGACTATGTTCTTTTGAATCATTTTTTTTAGTGAAAGAAATGTGTTTATTTTGGTCACCAAGTGCAATAGTTATTCTTCGACTACAACTTTGATAAATTTTTACCATTTTCCTTACTTGAAAAACGAAGGCTGAGAGTCGAGAAATACCAAAAGACCCTGGATATGACTTTTCAAATAGTTGGTCGAATTTTCAGTCATAAACAAATATTCATATTTTAGTTTGTCAAAATTTGTATTATTTTATGAAGATTCATCTTCTGTATTCATTACATATTCGTTACCTTTATATGTGCTTGGTTGACTGTTTGAGTAGTTTTCAGGTATTTTGGTTGAATCGGTGTAAAAGAAAAAACCTAAGTTATTGAAATCACCATTCAATATGTAGACAGTATTTGTCTCCACATACTGTATTTATTGAACTTTTATTTTTGTGGAAGGGTATACATTGTTTCTAATTCATGCAATAGAGTTGCTTTTTCTCTGAGTTTCACGGCAACTACAAAAACCTAACAACTGAAGGTTATGATGTTCCATTTCAAGATGAGCATATCGTAACATAGAATAAACACGAACATTAAATTAACCTCTCTTTAAATTATTCCACATATTATATTCATAATCAGATCTTGTAAACAGAAGTAATGATTTAATAACGTTTAAACCACTTTTATGAGTCGGTCGACTAGTCATTTTGATAAAATAGCCAAGACAGCAACATAATCTTACCTCCTGATAATATGAAAATAAAAATACACAAACTATCTTCAAGATATTTCGAAGATTTGAGCATGCGTGATATCAATTATTGATTAATTGTTTCTTAAATGCAACACGTCACTAGGGACAAACGACCTATTAAAATCTAGTAAAAACTATTTAGATATTTATGTCTATATTTTGTTCCAGTCCCTCAACAATGACTTTCAACCCTATTCATTATAACTCATATAAATAATCCATATTTCAGGTTGGCATTTATCATGGACTCACATCAGTTGGAGGAACACTGGAAACCTAGGAGTACCGGAAAGCTAGTTCATCCTAGAATGGGACTCCTCAGCAGTGCAGACCCATGACACCACCAGGGACCTAACCCAGGATCTTCAGGTCCCTTGGCCAGCCCGTTGCCATTGAGTCATTAGGTCAGAATCCATTGGTCAATATTTTCTCCTTCTGTGCTCGTTAGTGACTCACTTCAAGAGGTGATCTCCAAAGTTCTAATGAGAAGCTGTGAGCACAGTTCTTCAACGACAGCATTGGACGGAGGTCACGGTATATAGTGGACTGACAGAAGTAGGAAATACGGACCACTGGATTCTTACCCAGTGACCCAATGATAACGTGCTGAACATGGAACCTGAAGGTTCTGGGATCGATCCGTGGTGTGGTGATACGTGTGCTCTGCTGAGAAATCTCATCCTAGGACGAAACAGCCGTCCAGTGCTCCTAAGTTTCCAATGTTCCTCCAATTGATTTCAGTACATGATGAATATTAACCTGAAAGCAATAAATAAGTTCCCATAAACTTCCAAACTGAATCATTCAGGTTTATATAATGATCGAATTATAAACGAATATGGTTAAAATGAAACTTACCTGTTTCTGAGCTTTGCTGCACTCATTATTCAATGGGGTCTTCATATGTTTTAGCTTGTCATCATTCTGATTGCTGTTTACTTGCTGCTCATCTAATTTTTTACGGATCATTTTAAACTGTTGTATATTTAATTCTAATTGAGTTAATGGCAGATTATTTAGCTTATTGTGATTGCTGCTAATACCGTTATTGATTTTTTGACATTTTGATTTATTTCGATGAATCGATAAATTATCATTTAAGTATTTTAAATTGGCTGTTAATGGTGATGATGTAGATGGTCGTGTAGTGGCAGTTTCATTTAATGGATTCAAATGGATGTTATTCTTCTTTTTTAGATATGGTGAAGTAATTCTTTCTACATTCAGTAAGTTATGAGTAATGTTAACCTGTTCTTTTTTCATAAATATTGGTGAACACGGAGCTGATTGTGTTGTGCACAAATGATCCTTTTTAATACGATTAATTGGAAGGCTGAGTAGTAGTTTATGCAGTGTACCAGGCTTTTCATGATTTTTATTATCATTTATCATTATAGCTGAAGACCGATTTGTAGAGAGTCTCTATAGAAACATTTAAAAAATCACTTTTACTTTGAAAGGATATTTAGTTGTGATTTTAAAGGAAAAATTTACCAAGACAATAATTGGAGATCTTTAGAAAATAGTCAAGACCTGGCGGTTTATCCATAAAACATTCGAAACTTTTCGACTTTGTGCATAATTTACCACTTTAGTGTCCCGTTGTGGAACTACTTTTATCTATTGAGCATATCAACAGAGTATTTTGATGAGATTTAAGGTACAGTTATTTTCTTGATTCAAGCAGCTTTTGATTAGTCTAAATCCTCTTCTATTGTCATTTGTCAAAATTAATTCTCTATATGACATCTGATTCTTCTCCATTGTCTTAATTTGAATAGCAAAAGGTATCTCTTAATGCGTCAACAAGAGAATAAAACACTTCCAAACAGATTGCTGCTTTCTAATGCGTTGATTTATTGAGCATTATATTCTAACAAATAATTGGCCAGTTAAAATTACTTGAGTCATTTATTATCAGAATGGTGAACTTTGGTTATTGCAACCTTGGTTTATTATGGTGGGGTAGGGAGGTTGAGAAAACAACCATATTTGCTTTCTTATACTGATATATCATGTAAAGTTCAATCAATATATATAGAATTATGAGGACTTCGTTATCAAGTTGCTCTTTGATCAAAGGTTACTTCAAGCACGCAATGCTACGAGTGCATTATAACCCTATTTATAGAATTTTAGGGTCAGCCAGTGACAACATTCATATACAGTGATACTTCTGTGGTACTCGTATGGTGAATAACTTGATGTCTCATTAAACATAACTGAAAAGACGCAAAACCATAAAAATAGACAACAATATCATAGTTGTGACTGTTCGAATACACTTTATAGCCAGCGACAGACTATTTTATTTTTCGTTCGTAAAACCTGTGTAGACACAGCGTTCTGTGATGCAAAAAGTGAGTGTGATATGGCAGTACAGGAATCTCTTTACGTGTCATAGAAGAGGCTTTTATTTCTGCCTTCCAGGATATTTGCCAGCGCGACTCTCATCTTGGCTACTCAGCCACTGGATAAAAAATAAATATCCGGTTGAACATTATCCATTACCGCGGAATTTCGTTGATGGGACTCTCAGAGACCTCAGAAACTCTAATGACTCTACAAAATTTCTTAGTCTACTTAGTTGCAACAGATTAAAAACGATTTAGAGAAAAACGGGTAGATCAATTTGTTTACTGGCATATTTTGTTCGCATCTGAATTAAGCACTACTTGTGTTGTGTGCATAAATGTTTCAGAATTGGCATTGGACACCCATGCAACCCACTGACTAGTAGAAAGTGATATATGTTAAAACTAGTGTTTTAAAAACAAAATTACATTTTCATGTTTATGCAGGATTAGTAGAGAAACACAATGTTTAACAAAACTGGAATCAATTTTTTCCTATTATTTGCGTTAATGTGAATGAATAAAATGAGACAATTACAAATTTCCTACCAGTTATTATTACTGTTATCGCAACTGTTGTCATTTTGTTAGACTGCATCAAATACAGTGGTTGAATGGATGCGTCTAAAGTATACTAAATAAAAGTGCCTTTCATCTCCCGCCACACTTCGCTTCTCTCTGTCAGTCTGTCTATCTCTCTCACTCTTTAATGATTAAATACCTCCGACTATTCTTAAAGAGTACAGAGAGGCAGAGACACAAATGTTAACGGAAAATAACTCAAATATAATGTTAAAACTTTCCCACTAGCGAAACACCTTAAGTAGACTGCAATAAACTGACTATTTTACGTCTTTCCATGGAATAATAATATTAATCTCTACAAAAGGGATCAGTTCGAGTTAATGATTACAATTGAAACAGAAGTTTACATCAAATCGAGTTGTAATTTTCAATCTTCGAATTCAAACAAGTAGGCTCTGGAACTCACTACAGCTGTTTCGCCACTGTGAAACACGCTCAGAGTTGCTTAACCATATGCATAGTGTATAATCGTCCAGGTGAATTGGTTTAAATCGTTTGTCATCCATCATTCTCATTTACATACGTGTACTACGACGAGTTACCTACAAACATTATCGATCCAAAGATTTCCTTTCACAGCTAGTTCATCTATGAATACTGGTCTTATCCAGCGTCTTCAAACTCCAATTATTAATGAAAAGATAATAGCTCAACGAAGGTAGTAAACCCATTGTAGGTCAGCTTCTTTCATCGAGATAAATGTGCGGGTAACTCCTTCGTAAGTGAAAATATTAACAAGAAGTGAGAAGAAGTTCTTGTCATTGTCTAAGACAGTCAGCAGGTTTCTATGCTCCACTTTCTATCTTCAGTTAACTACTTGCAGATTCCTTCATTAACCAGTTAGATGACTGATTCTCACAGAGGATGTTTACCAAAAGATTGAGTATGGAATCTGAAGCCACCAGAAAAATGACAACTGTCTTACAGGAAACGCTGAGCTATAATCAACACAGTTGGAGGTTTAGATTTACCTACTGTCATTGTTATGATGAGCATGCCATCACACACTTACTACATGAGAATTGCGCTACTCAGATTCCTGACTACAGACGAATAGCAACAAGTACAGACTATGAATGAGCATCTTACATTATTTCTAACTTTTCTAGTCAAATAAGTTTTTAGTTCTTATTGGAATTTCAGATAGTGCCTACCAAAAAAAGTGACCAGTGATCTATGAAGAAGAAAGGAAGAAAAACTTTTTGAAAGATAGGCTTCAGTAGAAGATTAGTCTTCGGTGATATCATTTTCACAAGTTGTTCAATCGGATTTAACTATCGTATATTTGTCCACATCTAATGGTAAGCGATATTGATTCAGGTTGCAGTCAGCAAAATTGTATTGGAATGATAATTGTATAAGACGCAGCGAATTGGTTAACAGTAAGGATCATTAACCGTTGTAGATTAGATATGAGGCGAATTGAAAAGATATGAATAATAACATTCAACCAAATGGTTGGCTCACTGTCAGTGATATTTTTCTTATCATTATGTGTAGATAATAATTACATTTAAATGTGAGTAAACACCTTCTGAGAATGATATCAGATTGATATACATTATGGAATGAAATCATCTGAAGAATCATTGGGAACCTGACGTTAATGGTCAGCTGTTGCGTCCCACTATGAGATTCCTCAACGGTGCACACCCATGACCTCGCCAAGGGCCGAACCAAGGATTTTCAGGTTCCATGACTAGCACCTGATCATTGGGTCACATAATCGGAAGACAGTGGTCCACATTTCCTACTTCTATCGGTTCGTGATATACCACGACATCCGTCCAATGCCACTGTTGAGTAACTGTCCTCATGCCTGACTTGGTTTGGCCTAACGGTCAAGATTAATCAATAGAATTTGGGAAATCTCATTACGAAGTAAGTCACTAATGAGGACACGAGTCTCGTCTCAAAGGGAGTAGCTGATGCCAAATATTACGGTGAATCCCCTGAAAGAGTGAGTAATTATTGAATGGGTAAAAATATGCGAATATAAATTCGCACGGCCTGACAAAACCAGCTCAATGGCTAAAGTTTGTCGAAAACAGTCTTTGTGCCCTGCTTTAGGACTTTGCAACACACACACATACATACGATTCAAGGAAAATCGAAGTCCTGAAGCAGACGCATCCTCCTGATATCACAGACTGCATCGGTTAACAGATTCTAATCCCGTATCTAACAGATGTTATATGTATTAAGGAGAAATAAAATGCTCATCCAGGTAAGTTGCAAACATGACACCAAGGAATAAAATGACAAATGAAATAATTTAACCAAGTTTGGAAATGTGTATCAGTTGGATAAACTATAATTTCATGATTATTTCACTGAAAATCATGGATCTATTTCTTCATGGGGCAGAGTATATCAAGAATAAAATGCATTTTTTCAGTGAATCAGAGCTATTAATGAATGAGATACCTGTACAGCCTAATGATAAAACCATATTCACATTTACCTAAGGTCAGAGACCGATTTATTTCAAGATATTGAGACTTTCTAAATTGGAAGAGTTTGAAGTTTAGTCAGTTAGTGATCAGTGTTCACTTTGCAAGAGGAAATTTATTTCTAGAATGGCATTCAATAATACTGTTTATATTATTCAGTTATTATATAATTCTTAAATAAAGCTGTTAAATTCTGTTGAGACAGTGATTCATTCAACCTTTCAGTAATTGAAATGTCCATACGAAAATTGAAGTCCAACTTGCGTCCACATGAGTGCGAATGCGTGTGTACATAATCTCTGAAAACTAAAAAATGTAGCCTAAGCAGTTGGCAACCCGGAAAAACGATAATTCCTTTTCTTATGAGGCTACGTTCGATACATCATTTGGAGAACCATTGAAAACCTTAGGGTATTGAACAGCTGTTTTTTTCCAAGTATAAGAGTCCTTAGCAGTACACACTTAAAACCTTACCAAGGACCGAAAATAGCACCTTCAGGTTTCGTAGCAACCGAGTCCGTATTGAGCCGTAATCCTATTGTTTCAGAAAAACGAGACTTTTATAGTTACCCTTAGGCATGTCAGTTTGAATGTATACCATGCATATGATAACCTAAGAAATAACTACTTGATCAGATTAGCTTGTGAAGAAATCGTTTATTCTGGATATTCTCTGATAGTGTTTTTTGATATGAGAGAAATGCATTTCAAGAGGATGATTTTGTGTGATGATGACTGACTGTCTGATTTAAATTGGAGTCTATAGTTCACCAGCTATCAACTAATTACCAGGATATCCAGGTACACTAGTTTTCAACACTATAAGACGACTTTGAGTTAAGCACAGTAATTTCGGCTAAGACTAGAAGTACAAAGCACTAAACAAATAATGGCGTTCCCCCTTACTGTCTGACTTTCGTGAATTTTCACATGGCTGGCCAGTGGAATCACCAAGTTCAATACTAAAGCGAGATCATGTTGACAAACTAAAAACTAATACAAGTGGCTTCGTATGTACCGGTAACAATCA